AGTTAAAGCAAGACCTTTTTTTACTTACCTGGGTAGATGTATGAAAAAAATCTGGTGCCTGGATCGCACAGGGTTGTCCTGAAGAACTCGCGTATATCTAGTTGATCACTAATAAAATTGATGCTATTCCTAATTTTCTGATTCATAGCCGCCTGATAAGAATGCTTGAGGTTAATTTAAATATGACCGAGGCTTCTTGAAGTTATCTGAGCCAAGCACACTCTGCAGTGAACTGCTTCTTAAGTTCAATACCTGTATGACCAATAGTTGAGACGGATTTCCCACTCAATACGACTGGTCGTATGCTAAACTATAACAGCAAATTGATCGTCAAAAATAAGGCGTATATATACATGTATTTTGATCAGAAATGTTGCGCAGCGATTACTACTTAGCTAGCTAAAGTGTTCGCATGAACAACTGAACACAACATGACAGTATGATGATTGGTGTGGATGCCAGTCAGCATACCTTCAGTCTAACTAGCCGACATTAACAATGGAGGACAGTACGAATGTTGTATGATGAAAGCTGCCGGTTAATGATTATCTGCTGCTTCGCGCTTTCTGAAGCAAAGCCGTTATTATTCTCCACCCTGTAGATATGGACCGATTACGAGGATCTTAACAAGACCCTATGGCATTTGATTCCGATACACTTGGTGTATTAAATCTGACGTATATTGGATCTCATTTGGATTATGCGATTTAAACGATGAGATAATGTTTTGCGTACGAGGAGGACATCTTGGAAAGGATGCAAAAAGTGTGGAGTGAATCAATTTAAGAGCTCTCCAACCTCTTTTATAAGGTAGAGTTGGACTGATATTTTAGGTGGTTACAGGTATCGACGTTCGCGAGTTGTACGGATTATACTAACGCAAGATCTTATACCAACAACTTCTATAGTGTTCGTTCTTCGAGTACCAAAGATAAAGCAAAAGACCAGATTTTGTCGTCCAAATACGATATATATTTCGGGACCAAATCGCGGGTAGGAATGAATGCTTAGCTAGCTAGTAATCGTGCACGCACGTGACACGACGGAGTACCAAATGGCGGGGATGCTTGACCGGAAGCCTTCAGCTAAACAAGTCGACTTAAACAGTGATGGTCAGCATCCAATGTTGAGTGATGATTGTTGTGGTTAATAATTTTGGGGAATTATTTAACGCTACAGCTCACTCCCCCCCTAGTGGGTTTGTGAGGACCCTAAGACATGACCAGCCGGAAGTAAAGAAATCTCGATGGTTCCCTGATGGGTGAAAAAAGTCTTCCGAGCGGCTTGATCGAGAGCCTGCTGGTCTGTCTGCCTATGCTAATAGGGTGTCTGTACATGGTTTCCTCGATGTTGTTCGTTGGATCTCGTGCTTCGTTTGTTTCCTGTCCAGTGTCCGTTGCACCTGGAAAAGAAAACAAGAATGCTGAGAACCTTGTCAAGAAAAATGTACCAAATAAGCGTTTATTTTTACCAAAAAATGACATGCATCTACTATACAGTAAAATAATGTAAAGTTCAAATATCGGGGAAAAAATATACATCTAATTTAATTTAATGTACGGCTATAGGAAAAATATCATTTACTTGTGTTAAATGAGGCAACATAAAAAAATTGATGTGTCACTCAGTTATGTGAAATAGGTGTGAAGGTATTCTGGGAATCTAACGCGACGTCCAGAACGCGTTTTCTTAGAGTGATCGACCGAAGTAGCCAGTGGGCGAATGCCCTGACAGTCAATAGTGTGACCCAGAAAATCGAGTGAGTCAACGCCTATTTGACACTTCTGTATATTGATGGTAACACCATGTTGGCGTAACCTTTCAAATGCCAAGTCCAAGTGCCTAAGGTGAGTTTCCTTATCTGGACTGGCAATGAGGCAGCCGTCTAAGTATGCGTATACAAAGTCGAGACCGCGAAATGCTTCATCGATGAAGCGTTGGAATGTTTGGGCCGCATTTCGGAGGCCAAATGGCATACGTAGGAATTCGAAAAGTCCGAAAGGCGTGATGATAGCCGTTTTCGGAATATCTTCCGTTGCCATCGGGATTTGGTCATATGCTTTAACCAAGTCGATTTTGGAGAATATAGATGCTGCAGATAACGTTGCCGTCAAGTCGTGTATGTGAGGCAAAGGGTAGCAATCAGGAGTTGTTTTGGCGTTCACTCGCCGGTAATCACCAGTGAGTCGCCAATCGTTACTATCCTTTTTCGGTACCATATGCAATGGGGATGCCCACGGACTATTCGATGGACGAATGATGCCAAGGGTGAGCATATGATCAAATTCGTTTCTGGCAATTCTCAGTTTGTCAGGGGCCAGTCGTCGTGCTTTAGATGTCACGGGCTGTCCTGATGTTATGATGTGGTGCATAACATTGCTGGTTATACACGGGAGATGGTTAGATGGGCAGTTGAGTTCCGGATACTTGTCAACAATCGGTTGAAAAGTTGGATCGAGGATTGCTTTCATCTTAACGATTGACAAGCTGGGGCCTACGTAAGTTATGCCTTTGACAGACAAACTAGTAGTGTTGTCAATTAATCGTTTACGGCGGACGTCTACGAGCAAATCATGATGATTAAGTAGGTCCGTGCCGATGATGGGCATTGTGACGTCGGTGAGAAGGAAAATCCACTGAATAGGTTTGCGTAAACCTACGTTCAGATAGACGTATTTCCGACCATAGGTTGCAATTGGTTTTCCATTTGCAGCCTGTAGGTTGAAGTTAGGTTCCTTCTGTCGATCTGCTGCTGTAGCAGGAAGGACGCTGACTTTGGCGCCTGTGTCGACTAGATATCTAGTCTGGCTAATTACATCATGGATGTAAAGTAAGCGGCTAGTGCCACCGGCGACGGTTGCCGCTAACGCGTGCCAGCGGGATAGTTTCCCACAGACTTGGAGGCTTTGCCGAAATCACAAGGTTTTCGACAACATTTCGCTTCTTTGCCATAGGTGTTGTGATACCAACACCAGTCAGGATTTTTGAGAGAACGTGTGTTGGACTTAGATCGTCCACGTGCGTTTAGCCGTTGAGGGGATTTAGAACGACAGTAGGAGGAATTGCTAGGCTTGTTTGACCTAAGCATCTGCTGGACGGAGTTGATTAACTCTATCATTGCAGAATTCTTCCTCGAAATCTGTTCAGTAACTGAGTATACTTCGGTAACTGGCCGCTTCGTTATCTCTAGAATTTTGTCTGCAGAGACAGCTAAGTCATCCATGAGAACACCCTGAAGTGTCACAAGTACAGTCTGAACTGACTGTGGCAGTTTGGATAAAAATAGTTCTCTGAACAGTCCTTCATCGAACTGACTTTGGCCAATGATCTCTTTCATTCTTGCCAGCATGCTCACGGCTGACTGACGCCCTAACTCGATGTTACGAAATAATTCATCCAGACGTTGTCGATCTGTGAGAACGTTTCTCTTGAGGATGGATGCTTTGAGCAATTCGTACGAGTTACTTACCTCTGGACCCGACATCTGCAGAGTTACACACTTGCTGAATTCCCGCGGTAGGGCGTGAATAACTGCAAGGAACTGTGAACGTTGATCAGTTATGCCATGTTCACAAAAATCAGACTCAGCAATCTGAAACCACGTTTCAGCATTATCTGGCCAATATGGTACGAGCTGAATTGTTTTGGCGGTTGATCGTATGCGAATAACCTTGGGGCTAGGGTCAGTCATGACGAAAAGTATGCCGATAACAATATAGTACAATAATAAACACAAAAAGGAACGAACTCACCGGGTTTATCTGCGTGTGAATTGAAGATGTAGTTCGTGGTTGGGCTCACCAGTTTAGGTGATTGATGGTATCGACGTTCGCGAGTTGTACGGATTATACTAACGCAAGATCTTATACCAACAACTTCTATAGTGTTCGTTCTTCGAGTACCAAAGATAAAGCAAAAGACCAGATTTTGTCGTCCAAATACGATATATATTTCGGGACCAAATCGCGGGTAGGAATGAATGCTTAGCTAGCTAGTAATCGTGCACGCACGTGACACGACGGAGTACCAAATGGCGGGGATGCTTGACCGGAAGCCTTCAGCTAAACAAGTCGACTTAAACAGTGATGGTCAGCATCCAATGTTGAGTGATGATTGTTGTGGTTAATAATTTTGGGGAATTATTTACCGCTACAATATGATTTCTCACTGGAAATCTTCGTCACTCACCATCAACAACAAAATTCGGATTTTCAATACAAACGTCAAGTCAATTTTGCTTTACGGATCAGAAACTTGGCGGGTCACCAAGAATATTTTCAACAGGTTGCAGACCTTTATCAACAACTGTCTTCGCTCCATACTGAAGATTAGATGGCCAGAAAGAATCACAAACAAGAAGCTATGGGAACAAACGAAACAGGAACCAATCGCCCAACAAATATGCAGGAGGAAGTGAAGATGGATTGGACACTCGCTGAGGAGGCCGTTGAGTGACATCGCGCGTCAATCCCTCGAGTGGAACCCGAAATGGAAGCGGCGAGTGGGACGTCCAAGGGTGACATGGAGGAGATCGTGTGAGGAGGAGATGAAACAGTATGGAATAACATGGACGCAAGTGAAAAGAACAGCAGAAGACAGAAGCAAGTGGAGACGTGCAGTTGAAGCCCTATGTTCCACTAGGAACCCAAGGGAACAATAATAATAATAATACAATATGATTTCTCACTATTCAACTTAGCAGTTGATGGTTGACCTTGTGATAGCATTCATCATCTTACTCGATCATTCGGGCCAATTTTTTGACCTGGAACTGAATAACTACTGGCACCTCACCTCATAGTTCGTGAACCACGTTGGATTGAGTCCAGAAGTTTGTCTCTCTCATCGAGCTGTGAACTAATGCAATTCTGTGCCGCGACATATCGACTCAGAACCTTTTATAAGTTTATTTTAAAGCAGGATTGGGTCTCCGCTGTGCAATATGTTGAAATAGTCACTAAGGTCCTAAACCCTATAATTCAATGGTCACAATTATTCAATACGCTGTCGTGAGTATGTGAAGTTCAATCTGTGTTGCTACATGCCGAGCTGGCAAACCGGATTTATGTCGTCCATGCCTAAAGACACATCGAAAGACTTTTCTATTCAGGAATTACAGACAAAGTACAAGCTAGACATCGATGAAATATTTGATCTTGCACAGACTTTTTTCAATGGTGAGATAACATTTCTAATTATGTATTCTGATTTTTAGAAAAAGCTGAAAAGGCTTTTCACTTAAGTTTTGATGATCGGATTGATCTCTCTGCTCTTATGTGTGTAAAGAAGTATGGAAAGTTTGACAAGTCTAAAACACCTGTCCCTGGATTTCTCGACATAATTGGTCAAAGGAGAAAGTAAGTTTGTATTTTCCTTGTTCTGATTAAATTAGTTGCGTGATTATCGATGTATGACTGTTAAGCATTTTTTGATAATGTGAAAACTTATCTCGGTGTGTATGTGTGATTTAGGAAAGTTGGAAAGGTGGGCGTAAAAAAATATATGATAACAGTTGGATGTTTTGCTTTCGTTGTAACAACATTTATTCTGTGGAGGATTTACATTGTTTGGTGTTATTTGATCATCACATCTGCTTACTTTATGAGCCAAGAAATACAATCTAACATCATCCAACCTGATTCTTTTTTTACTTTGTCATTTGAGGTAGTAGGATAGAGGCATTTTTACGTTGTGAAGTAACTTCTTTTGTTGTTTAAATCATATCAAAAGCTTTTTAGTTCACTTTAACTGATTTAGTTGAAGTGTTGTTCATTTTATTCGTATTTTGTGTTTTGGCTGGTATTTATCTCACTGTTTTCACGCATATATATATTTCTGTAGTTTAAAAAATTACTGAGTTATGAGCCCGAATAACAACTGCAGACGACCGAACTGCCACTTTCCGGTGGTTGATTGGATGCAGTGTGACAACTGCAGCCTATGGTTTCACGAAGTTTGCAGTTTTTTATCACCAGTGGCCTATACAAGATGTTGTAAGCCATCATCTCCGTGGGTGTGCAAATTTTGCGGTAGCCCGTTGGATGTCGTCATCCAAGAGGCAGTTGGACTACTTATGTCCAGGAAATTGTTGAAAAATACAGTCGAAAAGCCTGAATCAGTAATCGGTGCCAGGAGTGGCGATTCAGGACTTAGTTTCAAAACTGTCTATCACATCCTAAAGTGTCAAATACAAAAGAGGCATAGAGTGCCCAAATATCTGCTGCGGTAAAGCGCAAAATACAAAGAAAACCTAAGTGTGGAAGTAGTGTCAGGCTAGAGAAAAGCGAAAAATGACCTCAAGCTATTGAATTTTTGCGTGGTGAGGTCTCCAAAACCGATGCTGCCGAGACATCTCTTCATAAGCCTGATGAACACGTAGGTTTTCCAGTGTGTTATATGAACTCATGTATTCTTAGGAATGAGCTCGCCGAATTAAGAGAATTATCTAAAAGACTACAACCTGATGTGATCGCTATCACTGAGACGTGGTTGTTAGTGGGGGTAGACTTAACTTCACTCATATCTGGGTACAACTGCATTAGAGCGGACAGAGTAATTAGAGGGAAACGTGGTGGAGTTGCCCTATACATCAGAGATGACATAGGGATTAGGTCAACGCTGTCAGAAGCACATGATAGTGGCACCAGTGAAGCCGCAAGTTGTGTCATTAACTTGAACAAGGGCACTTTAACAATCAAGGTTATTTGTAGAAGTCTTGCTAGCCAAGATGATGACTTTGTTCTAAATCACTTGATGGCGTGAAGAGATAGGTGTCTAGTTACTGGTGACTTTAACGCTCCACATATTAATTGGGGGGAATTAAAATCCACTAGTTTGTATACTTACTTGAATAGGGAGCTCACACTGACAGTGCTTGAATGTGCACTCATGCAACATATGCATATACCAACACGGTATCACCCTGAACATGATCCGTCTACTCTAGACTTGGTACTAACACACCTGAAGGAGGACGTTGGTGACATTAGGTGCCTTCCGCCGCTTGGCAGCAGTGACCATGTAGTCATTACTTTTATGTTTGAGATTCATTCTCTCATACACAGGTCAACATCTGCTCGTCCAAACATTTGGAAAGCGGATATACCGGGAATCTGGAACGCAGCAACTGTAGCTGACTGGTCAGCTGATACGAGTCGGACTGACGAGGAAGCTTGGGTGGAAATTAGGAATACACTAGATTGTGTCACCACTTTTTGTACCTTGGTACACTCCTCAAAAACTGTCGAATGAGTCACCTTGGATTACTAGTGAAATAAGGAGGTTATTAAGACGGAAGAAGAACTTATGGGGCCAATTTATAATGACAGGAAGGGAAAATTTCCAGAAGGATTACCGCAGAATTCGAAATCTCTGTATGTGATTGATAAGAGTTGTATAGAGTACGAGAGACAGCTATTACTGGATTGTGTTCATTACCTAAAAAGGTTGCACTTGTACACTAAACGTAGGACTAAAACTAGCAGTGGTATGCCGTCACTCATAAGCATTACTGGAGAAGCGACTGAATCAGACGAGGGAAAGGCTGAAAACCTCTCTGAATACTTCTGTGACGTCTTCTCGTCTGATCGTACCACTAGGGATATGGCGAAGTCACTACCGTCGCCACTCAGATGCCCTCAATTTTGGTAGAGCGCACAAAGGTCCTCAAACTACTGTCTAAACTGAAGCCAGGTAAATCCCCTGGGCCCGGTGAGATTCACCTTAAACTGCTAATTTCCTTGGCGGACATAATATATATTCCACTTACGGATGTTTTCTGAATGTCTCTAACCCAGGCTAAGCTACCCAGGGACTGGAAGGATGCCATTACAAGCCCTATTTTCAAAGAGGAGGACAGGCAATTGGTATGTAACTACCGGCCGGTAAGTCTGACATGCATTATAGCCAAGGTATTGGAAACGATTATAAGGGATCAGCTATCAGTGCATGCGGAAAAACATGACTTGCTAGCGGTGGAACAGCATGGATTCCGATCAGGATGATCCTGCCTGACAAACCTACTATTGGGTAGGGAAGACTGGGTTGAAGCCAGGGATAAAACCTTCTGTTGGACGTGGTTTTTATCGATTTTAGGAAGGCATTCGATAAACGATCCCACTTAGGTCTCCTTAGTAAACTTATGGGTTTCGGACTAGACCAATGGTTTAGGGATTACCTAATGGATAGAAGGCAGAAGGTAAGAGTTAACAGTGTACTATCAGGGTGGAAAGCAGTATCCAGTGGAGTTCCTCAGAGAACTGTATTAGGCCCCTTGCTATTCCTATCATCCGTTAATGAACTACCATGGATTTTTATTTCATCTGCATTATTATTTGCGGAAAACTAAATAATAACGATGATAGGTCGGCCCTAGAGTGATCTAGATAAATTAGCTGAGTGGTCAAACCTGTGGCGTTTGGAAATTAATTCTAGGAAAAGCGCGGTAAAGCACTTAGGTCAGAAGTTTTATACGTCGTACTCCCTAGGGGACACAGAACTACCTGATGTTAACGGGCAGAAGGACCTTGGGATCATTGTCAGCAATGATTTGAAAACAATTGCAAATTGCAATGCAACCGCAGCCAAGGCTTTTCGAATACTATGGGCACTCCGAAGAGCTTTCAAACGATTAGATGAGTCTATGTTCAAAGTACTCTACGCAACATATGCCAGGCCTGATCTAGAATACTGCATACAAGCGGCTAATCCATGCTTCAAGAAGGAGGGACATATCTTAGAAAGAGTACAAAGAGTAGGAACCAAATTTTTTAGTGGTATTTCACACCTTCCTTATGACAAAAGGATGAAGCATTTAAATCTCTTCCTGTTATCATACCGAAGGAAGAGAGGCGACTTAATTTTTAGCGTACCTTATACTTAGGGGTGATTTAGGATCTGACCTTTCTAACCTTTTCTCCCCTTCTAGGATTCATTAACTGGGTCACCGCATAAAGGTGCTCAGACCGAGGACGATTAAAATACGCGCAGAATTTAGATTCTCTCACAGAGTGGTCAATGACTGGAACTCCTTACCTGATTCAATGGTATCAGCTCCATCGGTGAGCGCTTTCAAGAGAAACTGGATCTCTGCAGAGATATATTTTGCAAGGACTAACGCAGGCCACAGGAGCCTACTATCCTTATCATCTGAATCTGTTTAGGGGGTTGTCGTCATTTGTTGATAAGGTTCAAATTGATAAAAACTTGACTTGATATGTTAACCGTAGAAACAATATCCTTTGTCATCTTTGCGTATTTTTTGATGTCATGTCAAATAACACTAAGCAAATGAGTAAGCTACTGCACTGAAATCATTTCAATATTTTGATGTTCTCACGAGTGGAGTTCCTTTGGAATTATTTTGAGGAAGAAGTTGATACTAGATGTGTATTAAGGCATCGGAAAAGGAGTTTTCAGCCTCTTGAAGTGGCTTAAAATTGTTTACAGTGGGGCAAATGTATCATCTTCAAACTTCCAGGCCTCCAGTTATCCTGTCCAAACTATTCGTCTCTTTTATTTTTACTGTAGTGTCTCTGTAATTTTGTTCTTATGTTTTCATATGGCAACTTGGACTGATCCGCACTTGTAGTTTATACGTTCATGTTTTGGTCAGACACCGATAGTCTTGTAGTTCCTTAGTGTCTATTTCGTTTCGAAAATTCTACTACCCAAACGACAAATAGGAGAGAACAAAGAAAACTATAAAACTCAAGTGTCAAAGTCGTGTGATTATAATTGATATGATTATGAACAATAAATTTTGTTCGAAACGTCATCCAGTAAATAATACTGTTTCACTGTGTGATATATCAAATAAACAAACTAATATGGTATTTCGTTTTCCATTGTGTGGATATTTCAGAGCTTTTCTGGTCCTCACACATACGAGTTCATAACTGATAACCGGATAATGTCCATCGTTCAATTTAGTACACTTCATAGAAGCACAGACGAAGAGAAATTAATATAAAGATTAGCTAAGGTATTCAAAGTTACGATGATAAAGAGTGAATGCTTATTCACTTTTAAAAGTGATTTTGGACTACCACTAGGGATCTTAAACCATTGACTTTCAGCGTTCAAAGGATCCAAGTCACTTCTCTCATCTCTTCTTTTATTATAACAGCGTGCCTGCGCACTTTCTGTTTTCGTACTGTTAATTTTGGCTACGCGAACGGATAAGCTTTTATGCAATATTTATTAGTATCAATAATACATTCCTTTGTTTTTCAGTGCTCGTTGGGAGGCCTTGAGCAATATGAAACCAAATGAAGCTCAAACTAAGTTCATAAATAGAATCTATGATTTATGCCCATTATTCATGTCGTATTTAGAAGCCTATTCACGCAGTAAAGGTAGTATCGCTGGTCACTATTCGAAGTGAGCATAATTTTTAAGAGGTTTTTGATTTGTTTACCCCATTAAATTATAATACCGTTCAAAATAATGGTTTGTAAATGTGGTAGAATAATTTTGTGACTTGTATTTCTCAATAGAATCTCACTTTGAGATTAACTATTTTACCAAAGGATTTAGTGTAAACATCTATAACGTAACTACTAAGTGTGATTAGAGCAGCAACTTAAGAACTGCACCAACTAACTCTAAGTTTAGTGAATGTCTGCGTACAATTGTATTCTCTTAGTTTCTCTTGAAAACCTTAATAGCTTTAAGGCAACACAAATTTTAGATTGCGGTAAATTTGCTGTTTCCCGTTACATTCTGTCTACCAAAGTTAAATGAGTAAAAAGTCAGTACCTAAGGAGTTACTCAAGCTCGGCACACCTGAAATTAAACTTAATTATGAAGATTTCTTCAGTTTCATTACTTATTTGGACAGTAGTCTCGAAAATGTAAGTGCTAGAAATTGAAATGTAGTGCTACTACTGCATAGATTACCCGAAGTTAAACTCGATGCTTTATGTTAATAGTTCAGAGAGAAAGCTCAGATTGTTGTGCATATTTCTTACTACAGTAGTTCAGGAATAATTTACGATATCTATAAATACATCAGCCTGTTATCACCATAATATTTACCGATAATGTTTGAGCAGACATTGTGGACTAATTACTAAGAACATTTTTATTTCATGGAAGAATTCACCCAGCTACAATATATTCGCTGTTTGCCCAGGTGTGTGGGTGGTTCAACTGTGGAATGTTGGCTAGCTATGTGATAAGTCCAGGTTCGATTCTCGGCCGACACGTTTCACTTAGTAAGAAGAAGAGAGGTTGAGCGTGTAGCTAGCGACTCCATTCTGTAAAAAAAAACAATACCTCTACTGAAACTTCAAAGTGTGAAGCCCTATGTCCCAACGCAATGAATGGAATCAAACGTTGTTTGCTTGGAGGAATTTCCGTAAAATGTGCTCATCAGGATGCAAACACTTTGTGCATCGAATGGTGATTGCATTTTTCTTTCAAAAGGGTCTAAACTGAAAACCGGCTATTATATCGCGACCAGATTACTCCATCCAGTGTGTGCGTTAATATGCTTCAAGCTTTCCATTCCATATAAAAAGCGGTGTATCTCAGGGACCCTTTGCAGGTATATGTATTAATTTGGATCTCAATGAAGTGTAGAAGTTTTATGAAACTATTGAGCTAATCGTGTGACTATATTAAGTAGAAAAACGGGCTCAAACTCAGGTCACATTGCTTGGTTGGCCCAGTTGGTGAGTCATAGCTCCATTCATCCCTTGTGAGAGTTGAAATGTTTAGTTTTGAAGTTTGAAAATCTAATGAAACTGCTTGATCATTGCTGATTCCTTTGCTTCCTCATATGTAGTATTCTCGTTATTCTTCAATAAAAATTGAAATAATGATAACAATAACATTGTTTCCCAACAATTTCGAAACTTACTCGTTTGATAAAAATATTTTCCAATCATCCCTCATTTGATTATTCATTTAAATGTATTTGGTTGACGAATTGTATTACGTAAAAGTGGGATATCTCAAACTGACTGACCGACTGAGTTCCTCCATAGAACCTTGCACTGAAGTGTAGCAGTTCTAGTAGCCACACTGTGTAGCACTCAAAGGCAGACAGAACAGCAAAGAGATTCAAAATAACTATAATAAGCAGAAATGTACAGAAGAAAGAATAGCAGCGTGGAAAAAAATGACGATTTAGTTGATATAGGATATTGTAAGGAGTGAATGCATCTGTGCCCCTGAAAAAGATTTTTATCCAACTCACCAAAATATTTCAAATGTTTTTGGATAATGATAAGAAAGCATTTTTTAGTCTATTTGTACATCCAAAGTATGCAAGAATAATGGAAGGTATTCTTACTCAACTGTAGGTTTATTTATGATATGAAGTGAATTAATGAACAAATTAATTTGCTTAATTAGTTTTTAGTTTACGAAATGATAATAAAAACTGTCACCTGTTGTATTAGGCTACTTAAATTGGTGAGATAGTTGGGTGAAAGCTATAGAGGATAAGGTCCCTGTCCGTTAAAACGGTTGGGATTCATAAACGCCTTATTTTCTTTGTAATTTTGTACGTTTTTATTGTCATTTGTTGGTACTCTCCTTTGTCATATTTTTATCCTATTTTATACTATAATCAGTATTATTTTCATGCGGTAATCCTTGATTGTATTTAAATTTTCATTTGGTACATTCGGCGTGATCTTAAAGTCTAGGAAAGCTTTTATTCGTCTCTCCGCCTGTTGATTCCTGCTAAATTAAGTCTATGTAGTGGTTGTAGGTTGTCCATTTTTTAATTAGTACCAGTCTGTTTTCGTTTAAGACCTTGTGCTCCAAAATCTAAATGGATTATCAGACTTTATATCATGGCTGCTAGCTTTAACGTCTCATTCTTCATACAAACCCTTTAATAGAGGAATGGTTGCTGTAATCAGTCTAACCTAAATTAAATTATCTTCAGGTTCTTTTCATGTATCAGATATCATTCAATTGCAAGTGGGTATATTACTTTATAACTGGATTGTATTTTTCTTGTTTGCTGCATGGTTTTAGAGAAATAGATATTTCTTGTCCGAACGAACCTGTTTCCTCCATTGGTAATGGTAATCAACATTGTTTCACTTTGGAAAATGAGTAAGTAACTTCCCTTTTAAAATAGACTAAATTGATTTAAACTAGAAATTGATTATGGCCTAAAATATTTCTTGCCAGTCTATGTAATTAAACACTTCTATTTTTGAAGGCCGGACAATGTGTAAACATTGTGTATTTGTGTATGTTTTCTACCATATTATTGATCAGTTAGTTTTCATGGTGGTATTCACGGAAGTTTTTAGTTGTTTAAAAATATTCATGGGGAAATCCCATTAAGACATAAAATGTCAAAACAAGTGATTCAGCGAAGGGCGTTTTAATGGAAATTATCTCGTACAATCGTACATATATGACTGTACAGCGTGATAATAAATCCGTTTAAGAGAGTCTTTTCTCTGAATTACTTCTTTTGAGTTTGAAATATCCACATATTCACTCAAGTACTGCATTATTTAGAAAATCTGATAGAGGTACTTAGTGGTGCTATTTATCATTTGAGAAGTATAGGGCTACAATTTGGTAAATACATACAATTCTAGGAAGTAAAGCAATAAGTGCACATCGTTGCACCATTTAAGTAGTATTGAGTTATTTCAGTGGCTTACTACTCAATCGGTTTGATCCTTTTTGTGATGCTTGTCATAGTGTTCATTTATTATGTTATACTGACAACTGTAATTGTTTTGGATATATTGTGCATCTCGGTTTATAAACAAAGTTATATACAGTACTGTAGTAGCTTAGCACACTGACCGTGAGTTTTAAATTGACTTATCAGGTTTTCTTGTTGGCCAGTGCATTCACTAACATCAGATGGCAATGGAACGTCAGTGTTGATGGAGCTGATTAGCTTAAGCTCCATCAGTTTTCAGCTGTTGGCTTCCTAGTTCAAACCTACTTCAGCCTGTGCAGCAGGGTATTGTCATCAGCGCTTACATAGTAAGCGTGGCATATGAAAAATCTGTTCTGGGTATGAGTCTTAACTAGCGAAACACTAAGATACGAAGTCTTATCTAAATGTAAACCAGAGTAGAATTTTTTAACTGAAAGAATTTTTGAACGTGCTATTTCGAAGCATGCAGAGGAATTCCTGAAAGCGTTTCACCAAAGGGAACAAGCAATCAACCTATGTTAATTCGAATACCGAATAATTTACAGATATGAAAGCACTGGAGAACAGTGCTTCTTCGAATTCATAACTTTATCATATAACGAGTGGAGAAGAATTCAATGAAAAGACGGAACTCAGTTGTTTTGGGAGAAAAAAATTGTGATGAAACAACAAAACATTGGAAATAAAACTAATACAGTCAAATATAAACTCTAAAAGGTAAAATCATTAGCAGTGTAGGAGAAATCAATCCAGCTTGGAGCCAGAAGCTTTAAGGTTAATTTTATGGAAATACCATTAATTTTAAAATATGAATGATAACATTCAAACTAAGAATGTAGGCAAAAGTAAGTATTAAAATTAAACAATGAAAGTCGAGGTGTAAAAGTCATTTGGCAGCATACTGAACTTCTCGATTGCACTTGGTCTGGGGTTCATCCCCTGTCCTACGCAATCTTAAGCCTCATCCACTTGACTCTCCGAAATTAAGTGAGGAAAATAGGGAAGACTTGGTGTAAGGCTATCAGCCCCGCCCCGTAAAGACATCACAGCTACTGGTGGAGCACGTTGACAACTTCACTTATTTGGGAAGTTCCATCAACCCCAACGGGTTGATTGCTGACGAGATCTCAGTACGGCTACAGAAGGCTCGTTTCTCGAATGCCAGTTTACGCCATCTCCGGTTATCGACTAAAGGGCGTGTGTACTGCTCAACAGTCCGCTCCGTCCTCCTTTGTGGCTGTGAGACCTGGCCATTGAGAGTGGAGGACATGAAAAGGCTAACTGTCTTTGATCATAGGTGCCTGCGTTCTATCTCCCGTGTGAAGTGGTATAATAGGGTGAGCAATACTGAGGTTAGGCGTCGAGTGGTAGGTAAGGAGGGGAAATCAATCGAGGAGGCTGTGAAGCTACATCGACTGAGATGGTTGGGACATGTGTTACGTATGCCTTGTCATTGCCTTCCTCGACGGTCAATGTTAGATGACATAGGGTTAGGCTGGAAAAGAGCTAGCGGCGGTCAAACCAAAACATGGCACCAGTCAATGAAATGCACAACAGTTTGTTTAAGCCAGTCACGTAGGAAGGTTGGGGTCCTCGGAACGGTAGAAACGAGTGGCTGGAGACAATTAGTGATATGTTGCTAGTGATATGGCTCAAAATCGCCGTTGTCAATGGTGCAGATGCATCCACTCCTTGTGACTTAAGATTTCCAATGAAACTGTATTGTTCCTCGTTATTACTATTCCTTTTGTCTCATATCCCTGTCTACTGTCTCTATTATGCATTTCTTTTACTTTCTTCTCTTGCTTTGTCTGCTACATGGAGTGTGGCGACTTGAACTGCTCCACATCGGTGCAACGTTCTATGTTGAAAACAGACAGGCAGAAACTTCAAAAGGCCTATGTTCCACTCTGAACTCCAAAGAATGAGAGGGAAAAATTCAGATTAATGTGAAATAAATATTAATGAGGCGTATGTCAAATTCATTTTTTCTGTGAATGTTGCTTAGAGTGACGTCAAAAACTGTACTCAGAGAGCAAAATAAGCTATCAAAACATCCAAAACCTGAGCTGCAGGATATCACCGTCATATTTATAGTCACTTTCTTATTCTTCTATAAGCATATAAGTACTATTTTTCAGGTGTATTATTCTTTCTTTTTTAAATTTTTTGGTAGAGCTGAAATTCGGGCAGCTTTAAATGCCCAAACCGAAAGTCAATTCCAATCTTATGCATCCCTTCATCATCCTGACGATCCTATCAAGGTTTGTTTTTCCCTTTGTTATTTATTGTTTTTTGTTAACATGTATATTCTGTATAACGGTAAATTTTACAGTCTGTCCAGTGGATGACGTAGCTTCAACAATTTTTCGAAGTAATCAACACCATAACGGTCGTAGGGAATACCTTTAGTTGACGTATTGAATTATAGTGAAAATGTCTTAAATAAATAAAACAGTTTTAGTGAAGATGTAGTGTCAGGTAAGTTACGCTGATTTGATACTATGGCTCGTTTAAATGTCACAAACATATTAGATATGTACTTACAGATAGGTGACTAAGGGGATAAAACTTAATCAAATCTACGTGTCATTAAGATAAGTTGACAAGATAAGATGTTCGGTTCATGTATTTTAGTATTCGGGTATATTTCGCGAGTTGAAGTGGTCTCAAACCAAGTGTAGATAGTGTAATAAGGAGTCATTTATTTGATGGAGTGCCAGTAAGTTAGAGGGTTAATGACTTAAATTTAAAATAATTTTATTATGTGAAGTACCGTTTAAATGTTGTGGAAAGTAATCAGCAAAAATAGGAGTTTTTCAGTTTACATGTAATCTGGTCATTTGTGGTTCTATAGTTTCAAGCTGTAGACGAATTAAAGTGTATTTTTATTTAAGTCTGGGTGTCGATGTATAAAAATCCGAATACGATGGAAATACTTTAATACTTTAATCTATAGTATTGCACTACTTTTTCCAGAATCTTCGCAGCTTTCCAAAACTGAGCGTTTAACGTTAGTCTAGCGCTGTTGTATCCTGTGTATCCTCTGAAAATTCAGCTTAGAGATGCAAGAATTGTTCGCCATTATTTTGAAAATGTCTATAATACGCCTTAGAAACATTTTCCCTACAACCATATTGATTTTTTAATGCAGTTTATCATGAATTAGCAAAAGTTGCAAAAAAAACCACTTTTTCTATCTAGTGAAAAATGTCTACCTTATTTGGATTCATTATGTTGCAATAGGTAAAAGATTCTGTGTTTTTAGATTCGCACCAACTGAAAAACGTAGGCAAGCCATGCAAAAAGAAGGAAGATTGTACATCCATTTAAACAGTCACCTTCAAAAACCACCGACAGTATTGCTTATTTATTTAAACACAAAGTGGGTACAATGTAGGCACAAAGAGATGTGAAGTAGAATGATCGAGGAGCAGTATCATCAAAACAAGCAAGCATACTCCATGGTAGGGGAGTATCGACTCACTAAACGAGGAGGTCGGTGGCACAGCGGTTAGGACGCTCGCCGACCATGCACATGGTCCGGGGTTCGGTTCCCGGCCGACGCACTCCTTTACCTCGCTAAGCCAGAAATAATGCTGGTAAAGAGGAATGGTTGGGCATGAGACTAGCAACCCCATCCTGTAAAACAAACACTGCTACAGAAATTTCAAGCCACTAGCTTGAAGCCCTAAGTGTTCCACTGGGAAGGTGAAGGAAAAAAAACGAGGAGGTCCGAAAAGAACTCTACGCTTTAGAGACACCCGGCCCAGGCAACTCACTCCCGAAATCTTTTTAAAGATGGTGGCGAGATTCTCGTTTACTGGACTATTCAGGAAAGTACGCGGAAGAATGTTCCTTTAATATGGGATGAAGCCATCATAGTGCCCATCTTTAAAAAGGGCCGATGTAATATGTGTGGCGATCATAGGGATATTAGTTTGCTACCAGTTGTGTCTAAAATAATAGCTAGGTGGGACGGTAGAAACGAGTGGCTGGAGGCAATCGGTGATATGGCTCAAAATCGTTCTCAATGCACAGTTTGGACGCATTCACTCTTTGTGGTTGATAATATCCAATAAAACTATATGGTTCTTGGATATCACTGTTTTTTTGCCTTATATTTCTGTTTTGAATCTCTCTTTACTCTGTTCTCTTGCTTTGTGTGGTACATAGAGGGGGTGTTGCGACTCGAACTGCTGCACATCTGTGCAGAGTTCTACTTTGAAACCAGTCAGTTAGTATCCTGATGGTTGTGTTAGCGCTGGCAGAGTTGTGACGGACGAGATTACTGACTGTATCATGAAAGCTAGGGTTGCATACACCAATTTAGATCAACTTTGGCGCTGTCATGACATAAGTTTGGCTGTCAAAGGTTGAGTTAACAATGCTTCGGTGCGCGCAGTCTTGTTATGCTCCTGTGAAACCTGGCCTTTCTGAGCTGAAGATGTGAGGTGGCTGTGCGTATTCAATCATGGCTGTCTCCGTAGAACTGCTTGCGTTTGATGGCATCATTTTGTGAGTAATTCTGAGGTCTGGAAGTGTGTTTTATTACATGGTGGAGATCACCATTCATTTAGTTTCGTCGTCTGGAAAAAGCCGGCTTCTTTGCCTTGGACATGTGCTACGAACGTCATCCTAAAGGCTTCTGTACTACTTTCTGTTCTCTAGCTCTGGGACTGAATGGAAATAGCGGAGAGGTGATCAGCGAATGACGTGGCGCCGTGGGATAAAGGGTACTTGTGTTAGGGTTAACATCAATTGATATATCACGACTTCCTGGTTGGGGATGTTAATCGCGATAGATAGATAGATTGTGCGATAGACAGCTAATCAATATTATGTGACCCTTTTTTCGCGATTATTGGTTAATTTAATGTAACTCACACCACGTGATGTGACCTTGAGTGTCCTTTGTTTTCTGTCACCCTTTAGTGTACCTGTCATTAATTAACTGTTCATTTTGTCCATTCCCTCAATACTGTTCGGTACTTTTTTGTCCTTTCTTGAGTGACAATGGATTTGTATATTTTTCTTGGTGTAATTGTATGATTTATTTTATGTTTTAGAAACAGATAAAGTTTAAGTCAAGTCGTTCTGTTTTTAACTATAGTTAAGCCAAGACTCTGTGTCGTCAGTACTGAGGAAGGACTAAATCTGTAGGCAAAAATAATCCTACAAGGGATCCGACAGTTAGTTCGAGTCTCAGGCTAGAAACGTTTTCAGATATGGCCGAAAATCCCAATCAGTAGCGAACATGCAATAATTTCTTTCTCTTTTCCTTTTCTGAAATTAACATGAAGTGACGAATGTTGAACAATCTTGACAAGTATAGTTGCTTTCTTTCTGGATTACGTCCCTCATTCATTCTCTCCTTATTTTCTTCATATATTATTGTTGTGTGGCGCATCTTTTGGTGTCCAGCTCTGTCTTGAATAAATAAATAAAGATTGAAAAGTGTGTCCCACATACTACTATCAGGGGATCTCATGGCATCGGCACTAACCGTTTGAACCGAAACCTCAATGCTGGACTGAATCCTTGTCGGCAGTCGTTTATGTGCAGTCTGTGAACGCGAGGCTGCATAAGAGTATTTCGTTGGAAGATCGTATTCTACTCACCTTCCAGGTCATTTATTGAGTTGCCAAAATAATTGGTTTATATAATTTTTTTTAAACAAACGCAGACAGTATAGATGAAGGGCAGTTAACCATTGTCACACAGGAACAAGTAATGGAATTAGGATTAGACTGAGTCAATAAATATACCTGAGCGATTGCTCAGATGTTAATTAGACAAACAGACATGCCTCATTGGTTCATGTGTGTATTGAATGTTTGTTTGGTGAACGCTGACAAATCACCACAGTTCTTCGTTTTTATGCAGTCTGACGACTGACAATATAAGAAATGCCAATAAGCTGTTCGAATACATTGGAATAAATTTTTCAAATTATAGTTTACTCATGGTTCTAATTACTTGAATGGCTTTGCAACATGAATCAACTTCATAATTTGCAATGTACACAGTTCGAGGGGGTGAAGTCTGACCGTAGTTTCCCTTGGGAACCAAATTATTCAGATCACAGTATGTTATCTGCTTGATACCATAAATGGCAATTAAGTAAGCGAGGTTATTTACATGGAACTACATACTACTTATCGACTTAGATGAGTAGTTGTATACCATTCATTTCAACCAGTAGTGCTCGCTACCCAGATCGAGGTGATCTAAATACTGGATGGCTGTTTCACTCGTTTGGGATTGAGCTCTTTAGTGTTATTACCAGTTAGCTCAAGTAGCTAATCAGCAGTTAGATGGTTTGATCTGATTTGGCTCTCTGAACTGAGTCAAATTAGGTACACTTACTTCTGTTTTGTCTTATCCTTTGGTAAGTTTCATCAATTAAAAAAGTATCCCTTAAGCTATGAGACACAGTGCTACTACTTGTTTTTACTGTTTTCACTTTGAATTTCCTACATTTAGAGGGCTGATCTTATAGCTCAGTTACAAGAAAGACACTTCCATGAGTATGTTGCTTATTTACAACGTCGATATTTGCTTATTGAGCAATCGCACCTTGAATCGAATTCACAGACAACGAATACAATATCTTCGCATGTTCCTATCGCGAGTGAGTCAGCACATGAAGCTGTACAGATTGATAATGTAAACGGAGATCAGACTACTTATACTTCCACTGATATTCCTGCAACTGAAGTAAGCATTTTTAAACTTTCGTAATTACGCAAGTAAGGCAAGGCATTTTAAACAAGTATCCTTTATCTACATATCTTCAGTAGCGCTTAAATCTTATTTGATTATCAGTAACTCTTCTCCTGATTAAGACTATCTTGTCCTTCCAGTTCTTACTTGTGCTAGAAATTCGGTTCTCCAAATAGACACTTCCGGTGCATTTATGCTGTACATCAAACTGAAAGTTACTCTGTTCAATATTATCGAATTATTTTCAAGTGGTCAGTAGGTTGTATCAACTAGAACTCTAGAATCCTAATGTGTTTGTTATAACAGGCATGAAATCAATACTTCAATAAATGGATTACTCTAATTCTTTATTGTCAATAAATTTAACTGTCCCAACTTATTCTCCATACTGTCCAAGTGACCATTTATCCCTTGTAGTGGGTTTACGTATCTGGTAGTGTAGGGTAGGTGTTAAACTCGTAGTCCTATCATTTGCGAGAAATTCTGAATCGGCCTCATTTCAATCTCTTCAATATTATATTTTTGCGATACATAGTAAATGTGTTTATTCATTTGACACACTAATTGGTGTTAACGTGTGTAATTGAATTGAATACATCGTACATATGGTCTGGAAATCCTGAAAATTCTGTACTGGTGACCACTGTATCTTGAAGATAATGACTCATATTTTACTTTTAGTATATTTCAATATTTTTTAGTCAGGTAGGTTTTTATCAAGGAAGTAGATAACAGTTGTACCCAAAATAAAAACTGCTCTATTTCGGAATAATTTATAAATTGAACAGAAGAATAATAGCCACAAACATAACCCGATAACAGTCTTGATGATCATATTTCCGTTAATAGTCAATCTGAACGAAGAATATTCTTTTCAATAATTTCTCTTCAGGTTCTTACAATTATAAAATATAATATTTGTTGTCGTTACAATAGTTGCCAGTAATACAGCAGATATTTTTTTACGTAGAATAACAGATTAGTTATAGGGTGTCAAAATAAATAAATAAATAGTCGTATTTGTGTGACAAACGTGCTAGGCTGAAATCGAGTACAAAATATTGTAAAACGGGAGACATTGGTGGTGATTAGTCATAATAGATTTGTAGAGTGTGGGGCAGGAAAATTGACAAGTATGATATTTTCAGGATGTGATATCGGTAGCCCAAATTTAGCAGGCCAACTATTGATATCGGCTGTGCGTCGGCAGGGTATCGAACCCTTGACCATGTGCATGGTCGGCGAGAGTCCTAACCGCTGTGCTACCGACGCATAATAATAGTAATTGTAATAATAAGCAGAGAAAGAGGAAAAAACCAAGGGGGTTAAGGGGAGGAAGCACTCTTGGTGAGAAGAGGAATCATTAATCCAAGTTTGGCCACTGTAGGAATAGCGTCTGGACTTGTTCTTTTGGATACAAAGTTCCGGTTTAGTCGATCTTATTGCAACAGCTTCAGCTATGTGTAGCAGATGTAAGCGAACTGTACGTGATAACGACTTCGGAATTCGGTATATAACCCTGAAAGCTGTGTTGACGTCGATGCTATGTCCAGTTTCGACCAGGTGTGACAGGATCGAGCTTTTTATGCACTTAATTCCCTCACTGCTTAACCAATCTGGTGAATTTACTCGAACGTGCCTAATCGTCCGCCCTATATAACTTGAACCACAGGAACAGTTGAAATGGTATATGCATGATTATCCAATTTGAATTTAGATTCATCAGAGAGAATTTGATTCATTTTTTCGAGATAATCTATCTAATTCATTAGCACTACACCTTGTCCTTTGTCAGCTTGTACAGTAACAAGATTATTGTCTTTTCGGAGATTGTTTAGAGATCTCCAGTGTTCTTTGGTGATATGCGAGTTTTCATTGGTCGGCATGGTTCGAAATTGATGGTGATGATGCTTTTTGATATTGCTCATCAATTCATGAGCAAATTGATGAGCAATATCAAAAAGCATCATCACCATCAATTTCGAACCATGCCGACCAATGAAAACTCGCATATCACCAAAGAACACTGGAGATCTCTAAACAATCTCCGAAAAGACAATAATCTTGTTACTGTACAAGCTGACAAAGGACAAGGTGTAGTGCTAATGAATTAGATAGATTATCTCGAAAAAATGAATCAAATTCTCTCTGATGAATCTAAATTCAAATTGGATAATCATGCAAAAGATCAAACGTTATCGACCGAAAGGAAAATTGTGCAGCATCTACGGCAACTCTTCAAAAAGAAATACATTGATGAAAACACATATAGGAATATCAAACAGACTGGATCACAAATCCCAAAACTATACGTACGCGTTAAAATACACAAACCAGGAGCACCGTTAAGAGCTATACTCTCTATGATAAACTCACCATACCACAAATTAGCACAGTGGCTTTATGAACGTATATAGTTTCTGATTCATTTCAGTTTGCCAAGCAAATTAAAGATTTCAATGTATCTGATAAGCATTTGGTCTCTTTCGATGTTACCTCCCTCTTCACAAATGTGCCAGTCATTGAGACTATCGACTTCATATGTAAAGAAGCTGAAGACACCGATTCCAACATTGGAATTGAGGAAATTGTTACTTTTATGTACTAGAAAATGTCCAATTCCAATTCAAAGGGCGTCTATTCCATCAAGTTGATGGTGTCGCAATGTTGATAAAATTCAACTCATGCCATCCAAATCTCAACTTCACAGTAGAACACGAGGAAAACGATACTATTAAATTTCTAGACGTTTTCCTAGCGAAAATGAATGATGGCACAATCGAAAGATCTGTATTTAGAAAGTCTTCATGGACAGGACAGTACATGCATTTCAAGAGCTTTGTTCCAATCCAGTATAAAAAGAACTTAGTCAGAACACTGTTCAATAGAGCACGAAAAATTTGTTCTGACAGTACTATTGAGCATGAAATAAAATCTCTAAGGGATATTTTTTCTCTAAGAATGGATATCCTGAGAAGTTCATTAATAAATACTCTAAAGAAATTAGCCCCTGCAAAACAATTCAAACAGTTCCGAAGAAACCTGTCTATATCAGTTTGCCGTTCAAAGGAGATGATGTACAGGAAGTAGTCAAACGAAGACTCGACAAAGCCATCAAGAGAACTTATTATGCTGCAAAACTTGTTATCCTTAACACCACTAAGCGAGTGCTTCAACAATCTGGGAAAGACCAGTCGCCAATCCTCGACACTTCAAACTGCGTATATCAATTTAACTGTGTTTGTGGAAGCAAATACATAGGTCGTACGGAAAGGCGATTGTCTACTCGCATGATGGAGCATTTGCCAAAATGATTGAAAACAGCTGAGTGCAAAGTGCCAAAATCCTCAATAACAAAACATCTTGTGGACTACGGACATGGTATCGACGCGGTCAAGTCATTCACTAATTTCAGCAGATAAAGAAACAAGAAAATGCTTGAAATTGCAGAGGCTTGTGCAATTCGAGTTTATAAACCAGGTCTCTGTGTACAAAAGGAGATGGTCGTGACTCTGAATCTACCATGGTAATACGTTTTACTTATTATTCCACCTCTTATTATTATTATCATTATTATTATTGATTCACTTAAAACTATCCTTTATCAGTAGGATTATCTTAACTCACTTCAACATTATTATTATTATTGTTATTGTAATTATAACTATGCAGTTTATCTGCAATTTATCTTTATTTTGATCTCTCATATCATATCATGATATGATTACGAGCAATAGTTTGTGCTCGAAACGTCATCAGTTTATTTAACTGTACAACACTGTGTGTTTTATTAAAATAAAATCCTATCCATTATGGAGTTATACTCTACCACAGTGCCCAGGTTTTATACTTATGTCTTTAATGTTTATGTGGGTTAAAATTTAACAGTAAGTGGGGATATTGAAGTGAAATAGTGTGATGCTTCAGATAGTTATGAATCATGAAGTGATCAAAAAACAATGAATGTTAAAAAATAAGTCAACAGTAGAAGTGAATATAAAGACAGTTATGTTTTATAAAAAAATAATACACCTACTGAAATCAGAAAAGTAAAGAGTAAAATATGTCAGCAAAAGGTAGTAACATTCGCAAACGAAATCAGCTAACTATCGTGAATGAAAATGTAATAAAAGGCTGGTTTGTAATATAAAGCCAACCGAAGTGATACAAGTAATGGAAGTTAAATACATTCATTGACTTCGATCAATTCATTAGATTTCGATATAACTCTCTAACTGTGAATACTGTACATATAGTAATAGGTATAGGCATAGAAATTGATTGGGAGATACAGGACTAATATGTTAATAAACTGCATTGAATCAGTCATGCAAAACAATAGTTATGAATGTTTTTCAGATCATGTTCAGATGTATAAGGTGAAGTGGGACCTTGATATGATTTTGAGCAATAAATTTTGCTCGAAACGTCAGCAGTGAATATTACTGTATAACACTTTGAGACTTTATCAAAATAAATTTTGTCCATATTGGAATTATACTCTACCACAGTGCACAAGTTCTGTTTTTATATCAAGGTGATACGGGGTACGGTAGATCAAAGTTAAGATTATAATGCACTGCGGCCCAGTTGTATCACTAAAATAAGCAATTCGTTATCAAAGAAACAAATTGAAAATATTAAAACTTGCAAACAGAATAATATTGATAATAATAATTATGATCAAAGTAAAGTGAGTTAAAATAATAGTAATGACAAAGGATGGTTTTAGATGCATCAAGAATATCAATAATGATAACAATGAGATAGAATAATAACCGTGGTAGATATAAAGTGACCATTGTTACCTTCTATACACAGAGATCAGGGTTTATAAATGCTAACTGAACAAGGCTCAGCAAATGCAAGTGTCTTTCTGCTCGTTTGTCTGCTAACAGTAGCGAGTGACTCGGCAGCGTTAATATCATGTCCATAATCTATGAGATGCTTTGTTATTGAACTTTTTATTCTCTTGACTTCAGGTTTTTTCAACCACTTGGGCAAATACCCCCATCATACCAGTAGAAAATCAGCTTTACGTGAGACCTATGTATTTGCTTCCACAAACACTCTCAAATTGATATACACAGCTTGAAGTATCAGGGATAGGCAACCAGATTGTTGAAGAACCTGCTTGGTGGTGGTGAGGAACACGAGCTTTGCAGCACAATAACTTCTCCTGATAGCCTTGTCAAGTCTTCGTTTAAGTACTTCTTGTACGTTATCTCCTTCAAGCGGCAAACTGATATATACAGTTTTCTTTGACACGATTGGGATAGTCTAATTTGTGTAGAATGTTTATTAATAAACCTCTTAGAATGTCCATTCTTACATGAAATATCCTTCAGAGTCTTTCTCTATTTCATATTCGATCGCGCTGTCAAAACAAATTTCCCTTGCTCTATTTAACAATGGTAGGACTAGTTTCCTTTTATACTGGATAGTCCAAAGCTTTTAAAGCGTTTATATTATCCCGTCGAAGAAGACCTTGTAAGTATGGATCTTTCTATTTTGTCATCAGTCCTTTTCACCGTAGAAACGTCTAGAAATTTAGTGGTTTCATTTTCCCGGTGTTCTTTTGTGAAGTTAAGATTAGAATGCCATGATTTGGATTTTACCAATCAACTGTTCGCCTCTGATTTATTTTCACATACAGTAAAAGCATTATCCATATATATTAAGTATAATTCCGTCTGTTGTAGTATATGCTGTCGCAAAATACGAGTTTCTAAGCCTGACAAGAACACGTCTGCTAACAGTGGTTTCAAATAGCTTCCATCGCAACACCCTCAACTTGAAGAAATCTATCGAATTGAAATTGAAATTATCAATGCACAAAAGTGACACTTTTCTCAGTCCCATTGTTGAAATAGGTATGTTATTAGCTTCTGTGTGTATAAAAGTCAATAGTCCCAATGACTGGAATATATGTAATGAAAATGGAAGTTGCATTAGAAGAGATAAGATGCTTACCGATTACGTTAAGATCTTCAATATTTTTGGTGAATCGTATTGTTGTTTTTTATTGATATTTATCTCACTTTATGTGTAAACACTCTATTTGATCTGTAGTAGTTAACTTCCCGCAGTTAAAACGTATTTGCTGAATATGCTTTTTTCATATTCCACTCTCTGTTGAACATTGTTTATTCTAACCCATTTCTCTTTTATCTGGAAATTCTCACGTTTAATCTGTCCGTGCATCACCCTTGGCACATCTCTTCTTTTATTTCTTATTAACTTCAGTGACAGTGATTTTGACGGAAATCTGTTCTGACAGGGCGATCGAATATGAAATAGAGAAAGACTCTGAAGGATATTTCATGTAAGAATGGACATTCTAAGAGGTTTATTAATAAACATTCTACACAAATTAGACTATCCCAATCGTGTCAAAGAAAACTGTATATATCAGTTTGCCGCTTGAAGGAGATAACGTACAAGAAGTACTTAAACGAAGACTTGACAAGGCTATCAGGAGAAGTTATTGTGCTGCAAAGCTCGTGTTCCTCACCACCACCAAGCAGGTTCTTCAACAATCTGGTTGCCTATCCCTGATACTTCAAGCTGTGTATATCAATTTGAGTGTGTTTGTGGAAGCAAATACATAGGTCTCACGTAAAGCTGATTTTCTACTGGTATGATGGGGGTATTTGCCCAAGTGGTTGAAAATAGCTTCTGGTTTAGTTTCATCTGTGTCAGTATGTGTTGCAAAAGGGAAGTCACGGATAATGGGTTGAAAGTATGGTGGTTTCGTTATGGTGACTGTATGAAGGGATAGTGTGTGTTGTTCTTGTATTTGCGCGTGTTGAGAGTTTCCATTGGAGCTAGTAAGGGGTGGTAATAAATGGAGGAGTACCTGTTTGGTCTTCATGCTTTAACTATGAAATTGATGATTTATGGTGTGTCCACACTCTCCTTTGATCTTCGGGGATCCTGGAAATTGCTGTATTTCTCAACGGACTCTCTGTATGTAGCTCCTCAATTGCAGGTTAATATACAAGTAGTCAGGGAATGAGACAATCAGCGTAATATATCGTTGACATCTCGTTTAAGCAGTTGACGGCTTGTGTAAGGTATTCGTAGAGTGATAGTAAAGGATGTTTCTTCTCTGGTGACTTGCTGAAACGGTTTTCAATGACTTTTCTAGCATTGTCACGCTTGAATTGTAAATTTAATTACACCACCTTCTTTTGTATCCCTCGCTTTCCGTATCCATCATCATTGCTTAATTTATGAATTTTCTTTTGTTATTTGTATCCGTTAATGCATTTCGCTGCTGATAATCATAAGTCCCTTGTTAAGTTGTTTATAGAATCTATTGGTCAGTAGTAGATCCAGTGCATTGTATAGGATTTTTGTACAGTTTTCAGACTATTAGTACGCATATTTTTGATATGTCATACGAGTAACTTTTTCAAACCCCAGATGAATCATACTGAGAAACAACCTCTGTTGAATGGTGCATCGAAATCGGACGACGATGTTCAACCAGCGATTGACACACAGAATCCAATACCCTCTTGTGATAATATCAACAGTGTGTCGTGCTCAAATAGCATAGGTATGTTACCAACTCTTTTTTACTGACTCTTTTTAAAGAAGAAGCAACAGACAATTCTTCGAGTGCTTTGGAGAACAAAGGTCCCAAGATTGATCCTTTTTCAGGTGCATCTTTAGTAGTACACGCTCCTACCTTGTGGACACGTGGAGAAGTTAAAGAATTCAAACAATGCCTAGCAGAGGATGAAGAGTCTGTAATTCGAATCAGTAGTGGAGAAGTCTATTCAGTAAGTTATGATCTTAAGTAGAAAGTTGATTTTTTTTAAAAAGTATATGCTATGTACCTATCACAAAAATCATATCATCAAATGTTTTACTGCATCTATCAATCCTTGTTGCATTCCACTTCTACTGTTTATTGCCAGTTTGAATTTCATAAAAGTATACATTTCAACTACAGGCGGAACTGACGAGGATATCAAAGCAAGGATCGGAAAAGCAAGACAAGCTTTCACTACTCTCAAGTCTGTGTGGAGGTCAACAACACTCAGCATCAAAAATAAGATCCGGATTTTCAACTCTAATGCGAAGTCAGTCAGTGCTACTATACGGATCAGAGACTTGCACTGCGCGTCATAAAGAGCATCTCAAACAAACTTCAGACATTCATTAACAATTGTCTTCGCTCAATACTCAAGATCAGATGGCCGGCCAGAAAAGATCAGCAACAGGGATCTGTGGCAATGAGCGAACCAACCAAGAACCGATTGTGAAACAAATAGGCAGGAAGAAATGGAGATGGATTGGCTGGCCATACTCTGAGGAAACAAACCATCAAGTGACATCACTAGACAAGCCATTGCTTGAGTGGAACCCGAAAGGGAAGCGGCGAGTTGGTCGTCAGTGCAAGGGTGACTTGGAGGAGGTCATGTGAAGAGGAGATGAAAACGTGTGGTTGGCAGACATGGAGCCAGGTGAGGACTCTAGCAGAGAACAGAACGCAATGGAGACGCACGGCTGAAGCCCTATGTTCCTGTAGGAATTAAAGGGAACAACAATAATAATAATGATAAACAGCATCATGTGATATGTCCACATTTTTATTTGAAATCACTGATAAACGTAAATACAAACATCCGCGTTTGGAAATGATCTGCTTCATGGCTATCTAAACCATGAGGAAGTGGAGAATGGTTCCAACCTATTAGAAGCTTCGTAAAAGCAGAATATCTCAGTCAGCTAACTACAGCTTCAGCTTGCAGATTCCATATGAGACGTTTAACCGTTGAATGATGAAGTCACATTTAATAGAACATTGTTGATAAAATTATAAACCAACTGAATTCAACATACAACCACACATGTAGTCGTCGTTATGCCTAAGCGGAGTGCCATAAATATCAGCTAAAGTCACACCAACGATGACGCCTGCTGTTTTAGTATTACAGGCTATGCCTAATATCAAAATCTTGAGTTACGAGTTCCTACATAGCCATCACTGTATTGATTATGTGTAAATGAAAGCTCTTGGAATAATATAGTTTCTTAGACTCGAGGATGGAGACGTTGATGTTTACTCGACTAAGCTAATGAAGCTGCACTTGGTTTAGTATTATTGAGATTGTCCCTGCCTTAAGTGTTTCAGAACCATGATTGAAGCTAACAAAGATAGTTTGGTGTCCTATATTGTTCATTCATACAGAAAAGCATTGATATTTTTCCACGTACATATAACTTTAGTTGTAGACTAAGTATGCAAGATTGGCTGTGCAGCTTGTCAGTACAGGTTGTTTTGATTATCTCTTGGAAAACCTGTTATCTCTAAAGTGAATATAAACAAGTGTTTTTCCGATAGCTGCTTTTTCAGCAAGATGGGTTACCCACAGTAGCATTATAAAGTAATTAATTCTGATGTACAGCTGTGCATGTTGAAGAATGATCCAAATAACTGTTCAGCAGATAATACCCTGTGTATGTATTTACTTTCATCTTGATAACTTTTCCACTCCGTATATCTTCGTAAGTTTCTCCTTCAAGCAATTATGCACCCTACATTCTTAAATTTGTACGGAATAAAGGATAGTCGTTGTTATTGGTTTATTTTGTCAATTTCGTTAATATTTCTCTCAAGTCAAATAAATAAACCTGTCGTTTCATCTACGTTTACCTAGGTCCGTGTTCAGACTCATCCAGCAGGAACAAGCATAGTTTGGGAATTCGCCACAGATGATTACGATATAGGATTCGGTTTATTTTTCGAATGGGCTGAGCCAATATCTGATCCTGAAATTATGCAGAATCGTCACACTGTACCAGCCAACTCAAATGGTAAGCGGGCAGACCAACTGTTTGATCTTTTTCAAAATGATATATCACATAGTTTCTTTATTACAATATAACGAGTGAGTGAACTCAGACTGATCACTGTCTGTTGTTAAACGATTTAGACAGGTTGTTTCACTTTATAAGGTGTTTGAGGCGTATCATATTTTATAGTTCAGGAAACTGTCGCTATCATTCCAAGTAGGACGTGAAGTATGTGAGAATAATAGTGGTGATTTTGATGTCTGAGTTGGACCAACCGACTGACTGACTGACGAACCTAGGACTAGGACTACATGTTAAGTGACTTGATAATGCTCATAGCCACTGGGAGGTACGCGCTGAACAATTGAGTTTACTGGTAGTGACACTGAATTCTGTTTATTAACATTTCATGCCTAATGAATTACTACTTGTTGAAGAGCCTGTTGAGTGAGCAATCTTCTACATCAAAAGATAGTTGTATGATTTTCTGCGATGTGATTGTTATGTATGCAACAAATGTAAGCAATATCAGTTGACAGCATAATACCGAGAGTGATGGTTACAAATTGGTTTTATCTCAGTCAGTGTGGCTGGCTAACCAACGACTGACTTCACTTATAGGTAGGTAGGTGGGTTTCTCGCGACAGCTTGAGAAGTAGCACTAAGAACACATGATTGCGTCCGTCAATAGATGATCTCATTAGGGCCTCTGGAGTTTGTTTTTGCAGCTAGCTGATGTCATTGTAAGGTCGGTGGCCGTATATTCCACCTTCCATGCATAAACCAGTGGTGTGAACCATGAATTCAGGTTTGTGAAGTGACCAACACTAAGGTTGGTTGGTTGCTTATTAGAATAAATGTGTTTTATTATTCTCTCAACCTAACATTTTATTCAGTGCAAGAGATTCATATCTCAGGTTTGAATACACCGATTCCGTATGGTACACGTGTTGATGGAGAAATGGCTGTTTATTACACGGAGCACTGCAGAAATACCCATCATTTTTACAAATAGTAGTGCAGATAATAATAACAACAGACAGTGTTGAGCGAATTCATCTGATTCAAATATCTTAGTTGATTTGTTGTCTTGACACGCCTTCGATTACTGAATAGTGTAGTGTTAAAGAAGATCTCTTACAGTCTGATCATTTAGTTTGTTTAAAGTCCACCATCTATGTGAGTGTGCATTCACAGGGTTAACATTCACGTCCCACTTTCTATTACTGCAGTTAAATGAAATGCAGTTAAATGTAATGTTCTACACTTTCAGATGGCCAATCAGACGTGTCTCAGATTGTGAATGCAGACGAGACTAACATTTTGGTGGATGAAATTATACCCGTTTCGCGCCGAAATTCTCAAAGTGAAGTTTGTTGTGGATCCCATCTGTATCCAGGTGCAGGAACCTACGTCTTCAAATTCGACAATTCCTTTTCCCTATGGAGGTCCAAAACTCTGTACTATCGTGTGTGCTACACATATTGACCGCTGCATATTACACTATTAGAAAAACCGATAGAGTTCGCGACAATTTCAAAACCTTGGCTGTGCATTATACTTTCTTAATTTGTTTCTGTATTTCTACTTTTCTTTTGCGTTCAATAGACACGGTTTCAAATGACTTTCTCTATGTACTAATATATATATATATATATGTAAACTCTGAGCAATATATTTCAAGTATGCACCAAAATAACTTGTTGATTAGATTTGTGAGCATTTATTATTTACGAGAAGTCATCAACAACTGTTCGCACTCTGAAATTCAAAATTGGGGTTTACATTTTTAATTGCTGCAAGACGCTTCTGGAGGTTGCGTGTACGCCTTCGGATGGCAAGAGGTAGGGGTTTTTTCGCTGAACCCTTGGGGACAACATTTAACTCCACGAGTTCTCAATGCTGTGACACGTTTTATTGTAGCTAGAGTTTGTTGTTCTTCTGCAGCGAGATGGGTTGGGATTCGTGCATAATTCTTTGCTCTGAATAGGCGTTTGTTGTCCGTTAGAATTTCACCTATTTAAAAAACAGAAACCAGTTACTGATGTGATGCTTCGAATTTTCATTATTTGCATTTATATAATACAAAAAGTAGCTAGGAAAATAGAAATTTTTAACTTCGGCATTTTTGAGTCACTGAAGTGGGTTAAAGTTCTTTTTTGGGGGAAATAGTTACATACTTTCCCAACCCTTCGTACATGAGCTGTTGTGTGTGTGTGTATGATTAATAATATTATTTAGACGGATATCTGTTAGGACATGGGGACCAAGAAATGGACCATATCATGATAAAAAGACGTTAAATTAACTAAACAGAAACTAAACGAATCAGGAACAGCATGCAGTTCACAAGTGTGCATGGCTATCAACTTCGTTAAATTTATCGTTCATTGCTTCAAGCTCGTTTCAGAAAACGGTGGAATCGCGGAATGATTACGTTACGATTGATTAGGATTCTCAGTCATGTCTGACAACGTCTCGAGTGACTGATTCGACTTGTCTTTCTGATACTACTAGAGGAGTCGTGGTGTGATGATGGATGCTAACCTACCATACAACTATCCCTCATCCTGTGGCGCCTCGTAATTGACTGGTCACCCGTCATTATTAGCCACTCAGTACTAGAGCTAGCAACTGGTGAACAGTATCAGTAGGTACGTGATGACATTCTTAGTGCATGTACAAGCCACCGAGGCAGATATTCGAAAATGACAACAATTATTAGAAGACTATCTCCACTGTGTCCAGACGCTTGCTGTCGGACCTCAGAGGTACTCGCATGTTGGTGCCACTGGATATAAGGAGTTCCACAGAGTCAGCAGTCATGATCGAATACGACTTTGAGCCGTGTCATCAGTAATCTATCGTTATTGTTTCTTAGTGTCTCAAGAACTCCAGCTCGGAGATCTACACCTCCATAACCAGATCACATGAAATAAACATTTGGAGGCAATTAAAAGGGATGACACCGGTGAAAGGTAGATAGGCGAAGGAAGAAACTGGACTTCAGGCTTCAGAGACGATTAAAGCAGGTGGATTTGCATCGCTGGTGTATGTCAAAGTCGTTATTTGCATAAGTAGTTGCATATCCTCTAAGCTCTTCGTAAGTCGACCGTGGTGTTCGACAGGCTTCATTAATGAGTCAAAAGTTCTATGGGTTGTCATCACGTCTTTGTCTGGCAACTTACGGATTTCTCCCTGGTCGTATGCAGTGCTTCTTCTAGACAGCTCTAAGCATGTGTCAAACATTTTCCAACCATCTGAATCAACAAGGATTCACACACATACAGACACTGACCACCAACTGATTGAGTGCGATTTGACAGTCTCTGTGTTCTCGAACGACAAGACTGAGTTTCCAACGTAGGACTTTGCACAAAAGTGCAGCAGTTCAAGTTCTTACACTTCACATGCCACACATCAATGTCGGGAGAAGAATGGGATGATGGCGAGCTACCTAGAATGGTGACCACATTGCAAAACCTGACTCATAGAATTCAGTCTGCAGGAATGAAAGGACTAGACACGTCACACTAGTTGCTAGTGTCCAATGCAGAATGGAAAAGAACTGTGATGTACGAGATAGAGAGGGTTGTGAGAACCATTCCATTGAGAGAAAAAAGAGAGTATGATGGACTCAGGAGTTTCTGAAGAGTGAACGCATCTGCATCGTGGAGAACGATCTGGGGTCGAGTCACCAACAGTACAGCTATAGCTTGAGACAATCTGCACCTATCCTTACCTGGCTCACATGAACAAAGACTGAATTGATTGATGTCATGCATTGATTTGACCAGCTGTAGGTCTATTCCAAGCTAATCCTAAATCCCTTAACCTTGGTTCACGAGATGAGCGACATATTGGGGTACATGACACATGTCCTAGCCATCTCAATGGATGCAGCTGCACAATTTCATCGACTAATTATCCCACTTTGCCTCATATTATACGTCTAACTAGAATATTACTCACCAGAATATAGTTCTGTATATCGCTTAACACGGGAGATACAAGGCGAAAACCTATGTTAAAAGGCAGCTAGCCTCCTCTTATCCTCCACTTTCAACCGCCATGAAGGACGAGGGAGCGAGCTACTGCTCAGTACGCACCTTCTTTGATCAGTAGACATCACATGTGTGTCAGAGAAGGCGTAAGTTGGGAAACTCGAGTTGAGATTTTGTCGGCAGTCAGTCGATTAGGACTGGTGCCACTTCGCAAATTAGCGAAGGGGTCAACACGCCCCAGCATTTCACTGACTGTTGTCTGACTGTGAGTCAATGGAGACGAGTCTTGCAGCGGTTTTGTAGTTCTTTGATCTGTCGTCTGATCATTCAGGCATTTTGGAATTCGTTGAATACTGGCATGGCTGTCAGACTCATTAACCGTCTTGTAATTTACACCAGTCAGTCGTGTATGGAAGTCAAAATTACTCTATCAGTAGTGATGAAAGTCATTCAAAACGCGTATCTTGTACGTGATTTTCACATGTCACAAAAAGGGCACAGCAATTGACTTCTTAGTTAGATGGACGGTCAGTAACATCATAGGTCGAAACAACGCTCTAGTCTAATCAAATTAACTTATTTTCAACCTGGTCCTAATTATGTACTGGTTGTTTGACAAGGGAGTTGGAATGCAAACCTCTTGTCAAAGGCATCAGTCAACAAAGCAATGCAAATTTTCGAGAGATATGGGATTGTACCATGATAGCGTTAGTGATATCATACTGATGAAGAGAGGTTTAAGAGACTAGAAATGTGAGGAGATCACGCATTTTCTTCATCATTTCCACACCACAACTGGTGAAAAACCTTGAATTGTAGTAGTGAATATACAAGAGGATCTTAACACCAAAAACATCTTTAGAATGCGATCACAATGGTTATTGGGAATATGGCAGCAAAGACACTACCTTTGCTGAAAAAGGGCGAAACCTTATGTACATGGTTCTCTGAGTTTCAGGGAATGATGTGACCTGGTAAACGTTAGTTTGTGAGAGGGTGAGCGATGGTTGCACCCAT